CCCTACCTACAAGATTCTTGAATTTACATAAAAAATTAAGAACACATAGAATTTTAACCTAGAGTTACTTTAGTTTTTTGAACATTAGAGGAATTAAGCATGAAGCAAAAATATTCTTGTCTTTGTTACATAATTATACTTTGCAAAGTGCTGCTACAAACTCTAGAAATATCAGGAAAACTCTAAAGTCTGGAAGATAAAACATTTAAGCACTGAAAAAATGTTTTTAGTAAAGGACAGAAAAGCCCACCAATCGGACAATGGTTAGGCAAGAACATCAAATGAGAACAAGAAAGAAAGAAAAGAGAGAGAGAATATAGGGATATCCTATAGGTACCTTAAGTAAGTCCAAGTCATTCTATAGAGGTGGATGGAGCCAGAAACTGGGTTGGTAACTTCTGGACACCTGGTTCCAGAGGCTGGGTATATAGCATCTGGGCACCTGGGTCCACCCATACAGTTCCTCCCCAACCCACATGTCCCACTTTGTCCCCTTCCTAGGAGGTAAAGACAACCAAACAGTAGGGTGCTGTCCAAGGGGGCTTAGATTTTGAGAAAAGAGGGAATCTACTCATCACCAAATTAGATCTAATAGGTACTCTGGGGTGGGATGCAAGGAGTATCTGGGTAGGCTGCTGCCCAAGCATCCCTTCAGAGGGTCAGCCCAGGGCTCACATAAAGATGAGTGCTTGGGGTGGGGGACACTATGTAGTGATGCACCAACTTCAGCATAAGTTTAAATGCAGCATGGTCTACATGACCCTGGGATTGCATTGCAGATCAAAATTGCTGCCCTTACATTCAATGCTCAGATTCTTGGTGCCTGACAGGGTCTTGATCCCAAACATGACATGTTAGTCATGCCATCACATAGGAAGAGGAAAATAGGCTTCACACTGAACAGGCTTGCTTCACTATTGGTGCTCCAGTAGAAACTGCTTTGCAGCTTGTGCATTGTGCTCACAGTCAGCTGGTACTCACTCATAGACCTCAATGTCTTGAGGCACAATCTTGTTTCCAGGGACAATTCATCCCAATGGAGGGAAAACTTGGGTGACTATCAGGCATAAAGGGAATGTGGAGCTGTCTCACAGCCTCTACATTAGCAAATACTATATCCCAGGACTTTCATACCAAACTGAAGTCTCCTGCCTTAGGGCTGTCTCTGTCTTCAGGATAAGGCAGTGGACAGTTGTAGCTCATGGTTTGCAAAGATGTTGGAAGCCAGGAGTTCCCAAAGGGGACTTCATGTGCTTATTGCTTAGTCTTTGTTACCCCAGGCAACCTGGGTAGGAATGAGGCAGAGGCTTTCAGAGCCAACATGGTGGCAGAAATACTTGATGCAAGCTAAGGCAAATCTGGGGATCTCAATGGGAAGTAGAGTTCTCTGCCTGTGCACCCAGGAGCAGCATGCCTCATAGTGCCTTTCAGAGATGGGGGCCCAGAAGCCAGCATGTCTTTCAATGCCTGCTTTCTCAAGCAAGAGGCAAGATGCCAAAGTGCCTTAGAGTTTGTGCATGTTGAGGAGGAATTGGGATGCGAGGAGTTCAAGTGACAATGTTCAGCATTATGCCAACAAATTAGAAGATTCAAGGCACCTGCTAATGCACCTCCAGGGATGCAAAGTACATGTGCTCCCTGATGTGCAAGCATGATTTAGGATCAAGATGTCTGGCACTGCAGGTGGGGCAGGACATGCAGGCATATAGCAGGAGTCAGGCCTCATATCCATTTTTCCCTGACAAATTCCTCATTCCTTCATCTGGCACACACATGCCCTATCATTATCTACATCATTATTTCACTATTTGGTCACAGTTGCTGGCAGTTTGTCATGTGCCTTACCTCTACAGGTATTTAGCAGTCAACATTGTATTGTTGTAGAACCAAAAAATCTGATAATATAAACAAGGCAGCTGGTAATGATGTGGCTTCTGCTGAACACTCAGAAAAAATTTCAAAGGAGTGTAGGTAATGTAGTCAGTCAGAAAAAAAAAACTGAGGTAGAAATTAGAATTAAAAACACCAAGGTTGGAACAGCTCTGTGTTGCAGTGGGATAACCAAAGGCCTACAGTGCTGACATCCCATATGGGCTCCAGTTCAAGCCTTAGCTGCTCGTCTTAATATCCAGTTCCCTGTGAGGTACCTGGGAAATCAGTAGAAGATGGACCAAGCCTCTGGACCCCTAAACTCACCTCTTAGACCTAGAAGAGGCTCATGGCCCCAGCCTGATCAATTGTGATAATCTGGGGAGTGAACCAGCAGATGGAGGATCTGTTTCTCCTTCTCTCTCTTTCAAATTACCAAATCTTAAAAACAATAAGTTGCAAGAGTTAAAAAAAATGATGCTGAAATTCATATGGAAACACAAGAGACCCCACATAGCTAAAGCAACTGTATACAAAAACAACAACAACAAAAAAAAAACACACAAGCCATTAGGCATCACAAAAATTTGAACACAGACCTACCATATGACCCAGGCCTCCCACTCCTGGGAATTTACAAATGGGAAATGAAATTAGCACATAAGAGTATCTCTACCCCCATGTTTATTGCAGCTCTTTTCACAATAGCTAAGACATGGAACCAACCTAAAAGCCCATCAACCGAAGACTGGATAAAGAAATTATGGGGTATGTACACTATGGAATTCTACAGCAGTAAAAAAAAAATGAAATCCCTGAACTGCGATAACTAATAGAGCACCTAATAGGAGGTCTGTAGAAGTGAAATTGACACTTTGAGAAGCAATGAGAACAGCCTTTATCTTGACTATGAAGGAACTTTTTTCATTCTATTTGTTGAACTCTTTACTTAACAGAGCTAATCATATGTGTATAAAATCAATTAAAAATAGAACTCGGCCAGCGCCATGGCTCAATAGGCTAATCCTCTGCCTGCAGCGCCAGCACACCAGGTTCTTGTCCCAGTTGGGGTTCTGGATTCTGTCTCGGTTTCTCCTTTTCCAGTCTAGCTCTCTGCTGTGGCCTGGGAGTGCAGTGGAGGATGGCCCAAGTGCTTGGGCCCTGCACCCCCATGGGAGACCAGGAGAAGCACCTGGCTCCTGGCTTTGGATCAGCACGGTGTGCTGGCTGCAGTGGCTATGGGGGGGTGAAACAATGGAAAAAAGGAAGACCTTTCTCTCTGCCTCTCTCTCTCTCACTGTCCATTTTGCCTGTCCAAAAAAAAAAAAAAAATAGAACTCAGTAAAAAAATAAGAGTGGGAATAAGGGAGGAGGAAATTTATAACTGTAAAGCTGTATAGTTTTGCATATATTCCTATGGACTTTTTGCTAACAGTACAGTTTATAAACTTGCATTGGACCCCAATATGGGGTCCAACATGGGAAACAGTCCACACAGCAAACTCATAGAATGATAATCACTTCAAATAACACTCTTGACCTCAGAATCAGCCCTTCAGTCATTCTGGTCTGGCTGAAATGCCCATGAGAGTATTTCAGACATGGAACACTATAACATCATGGCCAAAAATGTCCTATATGAAGGATATCTGTGGGTGAAATCCCTGTGGAAAGAAGTCACCAAAGAAGGATGTACTTTTCTCTGAAGCAAGAACTTCCGCTTTGTGTGTGGCCTTTTCTAAATACTGATGGTGTTTGAGGGTTCAAAAGGCTTCCATAGCCCAGGCAGTTTATGTCAAGAGCCCCAGGCAATGTTAATTGTTAAATTAACAACAGGAATCACTGTGCACTAACTTCCTATGCAGAACTTCTATCCTCAATGAGTTGTATTATGAGAGTTAAACTTGTTCTCAATTTTGTGTGTGTGCAAGTTGTTGAAATCTTTACTTAGAGTTGGTCTTCTGTTCATTAAGTAATTGAAAATGAATCTTGGAAAATGGGACTGTGCATGGGAGACAGCGGATGAGGAGGGACTGGAGTATGGGTGCAAGAGTGTTGTACTTAACAAATGCATGAAGTTTGTTATAGTTGAATGAAAGGTTTCTTTGGGGGGAAAAGCAGGATGGGTTTATAGTGCATTGGTAACTGGAATACATATGCTTTATTCTAAGAAATATGAATCCAGAACATCATGAATTAAGGCTCAGGTTCTTGATGGGAGTGTGTGTGATGAGCCTGGAGCCATGTAAAATAATTCTAGCTGAAAACCCTGTATGCTGTATGGAAGGTCTGGGTTTTGGACAGTGTGTGACTGCAATACACATGCTGCTGGCAGTTTTCTATTCCTAGAGCTCACTGGCTAGCTGCCTATATCATCAGATAGTAAAATGAAATAAAACAGAAGTCAGAACATTGGTAAATGACTCCAAACAGGCATAACCACAATAGAGAGGCAAGAGAGCTGCAGAACAAACAAGGACAAAAATAAAAAGAACTATGGCCAGCACTGTGGAACAACAGGTTAAGCTGCTGTGAGCAATGCTGACATTTTATATTTAAGTGTTAGCTGGGAGTCCTGGCTACTTTGTTTCTGTCACTACATTGCTAATACTCCTATGGAGTTAGTACTTAATGATCCATATGTTTGGGGCCCTACCACCCATGTGGGAGGCTAAAATAGAATTTAGGCCTCCTGGCTTTGGTCTCACCTAGACATGGCTGTTTCAGCCATCTGTGGTAGTGAAGTAGTGAATATAAGAACTCTGTGTACATGTTTTGCTCTGTCATTGTCTTTTAATGGAAAAAAAAATTAAACATTGGCCCAGAAACAATCCCAGGAAGATAGTTTGGACATTTGGCCACCAAAGCAATACTTATGAATCCTCTTCAATCTATAAATAGATTGGTAATATGGACAAATGAGACAGTCTACACACAAATCTGGGATTCACATGACTGAAAAAGCCACAAGACAAATCCTACCTAGGACAAAAAAACAACAACATCCAACTCTAATAGTACAGCATTATGGCTGGCATGTGAGGTAACACAACTGTGGTCACATTACTGATCTGTACTAGAATAAATGGAGGAAGACTCATGTGCAGGCAGTGAAAGAGTTGTACCAAATACTTTGCAAATGTTAGGATTGTATTTCAAACTGAGTAGTATAGAATGAGTATTTACTTACAAAAAATTACATGTGGATATCGTCCCCTACTCATAATAAGTGCAGGCAAAACAGCAGATTATTTGGCACAGAGACTAATGTAGATTTCAAAGACTGCATAGCCAGCCTCTGCAGTACAGTGTTACACCCTCATGTGAATTCCCTAATACCTGCAGAGATGTGATGTTAAACAGGTATTTTTCCACCTTCATTACTGTTTTGCAGAATAATATTGAGTAATTTGGCTAGCACTTATTTTATGTACTAATAATTTTGTGGATAATTTTGCTGATGCTTGTTGAAATCTGCCTCAGAGTAAAAGCTTTGTCCACTTCCACTGCCTTTGTAGAGTTCTTCCTCTAAGATCCCTGATAGTGAGATCTGGCTTATGGTAGAAAGTTTTCCTATATTCACATGCTTTCTCACCTGTGAGTTCTTTGATGTGTGCCTAACACTGACTTCTGGCATCAGGAATTTACATAATCACTTCATTAAAAGGTATTTTTTTTCCTTTTTGTGAGTTCTGCCTTCTGTTGAGATGTATCTTCTGGCAAAAAGTCTTTTCTTATCCATAGCATTGACAAGTTATCTCTTACATGTGAGTTCTTTGATGCCTTCTGAAGTTTGAATTCTGAGAAAATGTTTTTCCACATTCATCACATTGATAAGGTTTCTCCCCTGTGTGAACTCTCTGATGTGTAATGAGTTGTGAGTTATTACAAAAGACTTTTCCACATGTATTGCATTCATAAATTTTCTCTGATCTATGCATTCTCTGATGGGTAAAGAGTTGTGATTTCCAACAAACGGGTTTTCCACACATTTTGCATTTATAAATCTTCTCCGTCTTATGTAGAGTGAGTTGTGACTTCTGGAAAAAGGATTTTCCACAGGTACTACATTCATAAGTTTTCTTCCTTTTTGTGGATCATCTGGTGTGCAATGAGTTGTGATTTTTGGCAAAAGGCTTTTCCACATGTATTACATTCAAAAGGTTTATCCACTGTGTGAATTTTCTCTGATGTGTAGTAAGGTTTGACTTCCAGCGAAAGGTTTTTTCACACATTTCACATCCATAAGGTTTCTCATTTATGTGAATCTTCTGATGTGAAGTTAGATTTGACTTTTGGATAAAGGCTTTTCCACCTTTATTACATTCATAAGGTTTCTGCCCTATGTGAATTCTCTGATGTACAGTGAGATTTGACTTCCAGAAAAAGGCTTTTCTGCATATATCACATTTGTAAGATTTCTCCTTTGTGTGAATTCTTTGATGTGAAATAAGGATTGTTTTCCAATGAAAGCCTTTTCCGCATGTATTACATTGATAAGGTTTCTCCCCTGTGTGAAATCTCTGATGTAGAATGAGTTGCGACTTCCAATAAAATGCTTTGCCACATGTTTTACATGTCAAAGATTTGTATCTTGTGTGAGTCATGTGATTTGTAGTATCTGACCTCGGGTAAATGGTTTTCCCACATTCATTGCACCCAGAGGGCCTTTCCCCTTTCTGAGTTCTATGATGGATAGAAAGGCAGGATTTACAATTGAAAGATTTTCCACAGGGGTTACAAGAATAGGTTTTTCTTCCTGTATGTGTTCTTTGACTTGTGATAAAATCTGATTTGTAAATGAGAGTTTCCTCATACTCAAAAGATTCATAAAGTTTCTTTCCTGTGTGTGTTTGTTGAGGTTTACTGAGGTAGGACTTTTTCTGGAAAGTTCTTTACATGTTCAGTTGTCTTTCCTACAATGCCAACTGACTTATTACAGGTGTCTCCCATATGATCCCTTTCATTTGTAAAGAACACCCTTTTCCTGTTGAACCCTTTGCCTTTTACACTGTGTTCAAACACCTGCTGAAAAGGCTGAATCTTGTGAGGCTGCCTGATGGGCTCCCAACGTTCACTTGAGTTGCCAGGTACATTAGTGCCATCAGATTTCTCTGCAGCTCGCATCTCATCAGGCCTCCTAGGGAGAAGCAAATTGTGAAATAAATTATATGTCTCAGCTTTCAGTAAAAATATGGCCTGAGCTTAAATTAAGTGTTGCTTTTTTTTTTTAACAGGCAGAGTGGACAGTTAGAGAGAGAGAGACAGAGAGATCTTCCTTTGCCATCGGTTCACCCTCCAATGGCCGCCACGGCTGGTGTGCCATGCTGATCTGAAGGCAGGAGCCAGGTGCTTCTCCTGGTCTCCCATGGGGTGCAGGGCCCAAGCACTTGGGCCATCCTCCACTGCATTCCCTGGCCATAGCAGAGCTGGCCTGGAAGAGGGGCAACTGGGACAGAATCTGGTGCCCTGACTGGGACTAGAACCTGGTGTGCCAGTGCTGCTAGGCGGAGGATTAGCCTGTTGAGCCGCGGCACCAGCTAAGTGTTGCTTTTTAATTTAACTCTCTTGTGTGTTAAGTTGTTGTTTGTGATTACAACTTGCCTCAAATTTATTTGTTGACTTTTCCAGTTGGTTCCCAATAGGTCATCCCTTCTGTGGGCTGAAATGAGAAAAAAAAATACTATATCCATGAACCATATCTAAATGTTACTTGTAGAATGTTCAAGTAAAAGCAATGCAATTTCTTAGTGGAATAGCATTTGAATAGGTCAGTAAAAGGTATTCAGTGTTGCCCTATATATCTTTTTCTTCATAATACACTAAGGTAATAAAACAAAGGAAGCTTTCCCAAATTCATACATTTAACTATGTTAAATGTTTTAAGTGGAGAGAGGGGGCAAGTGATGTCAGGCAGTGGGTCAAACCATTTCTGAGGATACATGCATCCCACATTAGTACCAGATGAGTCCTGGCTACTGTGCTTCCAATACAGATTCCTGCTAATGTGTCCTGGCAGGCAACCAATGATGATTCTAAGTGTGTTGGAGCCTGCCACATACTTAAAAGACCCAAACAGATTTACTGGCTTTTGGTTTCAGGTTGGCCTCATTCTTACTGTAGCAGGCATTTGGGCAATGAACATGTAGATGGAGGACTTTTCTCTCATTCTCTATTTCTCTGTTACTTTCATTCTGCCTTGCAAGGAGAACCTAATAAACATTTTCATAACTAAGTAAATATTTATAAAAGTTGAGAAACACTTAGTAAAAATACTTACCAACTATCTTATTTGAGTAATAAGCTGCAAACTTCCCAGCAACCATCATCATTTCTTATAAAAGTGAGGTTTCTTGCTTCCTTAATCATTCAGCTTTGAAGATGGGAAAACTTCATTGGATCACTTACTTATAGGTACCAGAAGAGGACATGTGTGTATCCCCTAGGCAGGACCATAACTTAGAAACGGCATCCATTTTTTGGTTGCTGCATGTTCAGTTTTTCCAGGGGAATGGCTATAGAGATCTGTGGGGTTTCTTAAGCAAAAACACCTCCTTTAAATGTTTTCAAGATTTGTTTATTTTAGAGGCTGGTGCTGTAGTGCAGTGGGTTAAAGCCTTGCCCTGTGGCACCAGCATCCCATATGGGTGCCAAGTCTCAGCTGCTCCACTTCAGATTCAGCTACCTGCTAATGTGCCTGAGAAAGCAGCAGAGGATGGCCCAAGTCACTTGGTCCCTGTACCTGCATAGGAGACTCAGAAGAAACTCTGGACTCTTGGCTTCATATTGATTCAGCTGCACGCATTTCAGTCAGTTAGGAGTGAACTGGCAGATGAAAGACCTCTCTCTCTCTGTCTCTACCTCTCTCTCTCTCTTTCAAATAAATAAAAAAAACTTTTATAAAAGATTTATTTTTTTTAAAGACAGAGTTACAAAGAGAGATGGAGAGAGTATTCTTCCACTTATTCACTCCCCAAATGGCTGCAATGGTCAGGGCTGTACCAGGGTAAAGACAGGAGCACAGAACTCCAAATGAGTCTCCCAGATATGTGCAAAGAAACATCTGCTGCTTTCCCAGGCACAGTAGCAGGGAGCTGCATCACAAGTGGGGCAGCCAGGACTCAAGTTGGTGCCCATATGAAATGCTGTCATTACAGGAAGTGGTTCAACATACTGTCACAATCTCAGCCCTTCCCAAATCTTTTATATGCACATTATGATGACAGGTTTCCACAGATTCCTAAGAAAACCTAGTATCTTCAGATTCTCAGTACCACAGAAGGCCCATAAATGTCCCATACATCATTTTTTGTATGCTTTCCAATCAATTTAAGGAAATATGTTCTTCCATTAGGATTATGTTCACCTTCTTTGAGAAGTACTTCAACCTCATTATGAAACCAGCATACTTGGTATTCTTTGAGTTCTTGGTATACACTCTTGCTCTAAAATTTGAAGTTATGGCTTTTAATGCTTGTGCTAGATGCTCAAAATTATCCCATTTTTACAGAAAACTGACTCTCTTATGCATTTCTAAACTTTTATATTATAATTATATTATAAAAGGAGCAGGAAAAGTATTATAGCATGTTAACCTGCTTGCTGCAACACTGGAATCCCATTTTCTTCATGATTTATTTATTTGAACTACAGGGATAGGGACAGACAAACAAAGCCCATTCACTCATTCACTTTTCAATTGCTTGCAATGGCCATTTATTTTGTTACTCATTTATTTGAGAATCAGAGACAGAAAAAAGGGAGAGAGGGGATGCCACTATGGCATAGCGAGTAAAGCCACTGCCTGCAGTGTTGGCATCCCATGTGGGTACCAGTTCAAGTCCCAGCTGCTCCACTTCTGACTGGGAAAGCAGTAGAAGATGTACAGTAGAAGTACTTGGGCCCTGCACCCATGTGGGAGTCCCAGAGGAATCTACTGGCTCCTGGCTTCAGATTGGCGGCAGATGCAGCCAACTGGGGAATGAACCAGCACTTGGAAGACCTCTCTCTCTCTGCCTTTCCTTCTTTCTCCATGTAACTGACTTTCAAATCAATAAATCTTAAAAAAAAAGACAGAAAAAGGGAGAGGAAAGAGACAATGAGAAAGCTCACATTCACTAATTCAGTACTCAAATTTGTGCAACAGTAAGGCCTGTGCCTGGTCAAAACCATGAGTGGGAACTAAATTTCTGCAACTCATAAGAAATCAGTTCCTCTGTGCGATCCAATTTTTATAAGCATTGATAGAATAAATACATGAATAGGACAGTGCCATGGCTCATTTGGCTAATCCTCTGCCTGTGGCACTGGCACCCCAGGTTCTAGTCCTGCCTGGGGTGCCAGATTCTGTCCTGGTTGCTCCTCTTCCAGTCCAGCTCTCTGCTGTGGCCCAGGAAGGCAGTGGAGGATGGCCCAGGTGCTTGGGCCCTGCACCCACATCGGAGACCGGGAGGAAGCACCTGGCTCCTGGCTTCAGATTAGTGCAGCACACCAGCCACAGCACACTGGCTGGAGCAGCCATTTGGGGAGTTAAACAATGGAAGGAAGACCTTTATCTCTGTTCCCCTCTCTAACTCTGCCTGTCAAAAAAAAAAAAAAAAAGAATAAACATCTGAAGAAAAACAGGATGTGACAGTAGGAAGAAGGACAAGTTTGAATACAGGGGATGTATTTAACCTAAAAATTAGTCTCATTACAGGCAGAAATTGATTGCAATGGAGCTAGCACTATGGCACAGTAAGCTAAAATTCTGCCTGCAGCATCGACAACCCATATGGGTACTAGTTCATGTTCCAGGTGCTCCTCTTCAAATCAGCTCTCTGCTAATGGCCTGGGAAAGTGGTGGAAGACGGCCCAAGTGCTCTCCATCTTGGAGACCCAGAGGAAATTTCTGGCTCCTGGTTTCATATCAGCTCAGCTCTGGCCATTGCAGCCATCTGAGGAGTGAACCAGTGAATGGAAGACCTTTCTATCTCTCCCTCTGTCTGTCTGTAACTCTACCTCTCAAATAAATAAATAAATAAAATTTTAAAAATAAATTGATTGCATTGTTGGTAGTTCTGACAAAATATTCACCCAGAGCAAAACAACAAGCAGATGATGCATCATATCAGCTGTTCTCAGGACTGGGACTTGGGATAAATAATGAGAAATGCTCTACCCAGTCAACATTCCTTGAGATCTTTTCCATCCCAGTCTCCCTGTCCCATGTGTGCTGACTGACCTGACAGGCTCCAATTTAGGGGTTTTGTCACTGTCCATGGCTCTGCCCCCTGTTCCAACTTGAAGATCACCTCAGGTTTGCTTTTGCAGTACCCTGTTAAAGGGAAATAATGCTGGGTGTCATCATATCATTATGTTAGAGTTTTGAAAGACAACAGCTTGTTCACAGGGGCTGTGAAACAAAATTGTTGATTTCAATCCTTTCCTTATGTTTCTTGGCCTCAAATTCTATGCTTATCCACCATGTAATCTTTTAAACAATTAATTTGCTTGTCACATGGGAAGTAACTGTTTCACTTCGGCATGAGAGGGGAATAGCACTCACCCAAAAACAACAGGCTATTGTAGGTCTCCATCATCATATCTTTGTACAGAGTCCTCTGAGAACTGTCCAGGTACTGCCACTCCTCCTGAGTGATGTCCACAGCCAGGTCTTCAAATGACACCAACATCTGCAACAGCACATTTTTTTTTGTTCATCATGCCAGTTCTGTCACAAAAAGACTAGGAGTGCATTTCTCTGTGTGTGTCTTCTATGCCTTTTATATAAGATGCGGATGATTTTGGAATCTATATGGCAACAGAATGCAAAATTACAATGAAAATATCTTGCTTCTATATTAATTTCATAATTCAAAAATCAGTACAATGGAATGCTCGTTATTATGGAACTGCTCTTTCTCCTAATGATTTTGAAAAGAGCCCACACTGTAATCTGTAGACATACATGTAAGCATATGACTGAATTAACATTAGATGAGTTACAGGAGAAAATGTTGAACATCAATTGGGAGAACGAGGAATTTCTTAAAAAATAAATTTTTCTGTATTATCAGATCATTTATTTTATTGCAAACTTTTTAAAATTTATGCATAGTTTTTTTAATGTATTTTTCCATTAATTATTTGATAAATTTTTGTGTGTACTTAATGACTACCACAATTATGTAACCAGGCCATAGGTCAAATAATATTTACATCATGGACATAGAGTTTGAAGCAGGAAAAAGAATATCAGTAACATGTATCAGGTATAGTTCACTCTACTTCATATGTCTACAGGAAAATGCTGAGCTCATAAAAGTATCCAAATCATACAAGAAAGAGATAAAGGGAAGAGGAAGAAACCAGAAACTTGAGGATGCATAGGAATGGAAAACTCTCAAAGCATTTTCATTTGGGCTTTTATTATAAGGTTTTCAAGTCTGCCTTTTTTAATCTTACAAGTAAAATATACAGTAAGAAACAATTTGGAAAGCCAAAACATTCATACTGAAATCCATGTTAACTTGAAAATTAAGGTTATGACCATGACAGCTATTGCTAAATCATGTAAATGAAGTAGTTGTTCTCAATAGAATTTTCAATTGTTCAAAATCACAGGAAGGAGATCACAAGGTACATCTAAAAAACATGCTAAAACACTAGTAACATAACCAGACAAAATGTCATGTTTCAGAAGGCTGACAACTGGCTGGAATAACAAATACACTCACACACACAAATGCACACAAACACACACATTCTAAAGGGTTATACTGTCAGAAACAACCAAATTTACTTCAAAAGTGCCAGAAGATAAAGAAGTTATATTATAAACAAGAAGGAAGCCAACAAGGCAGCCCAGCCCATAGTAAGCATGCTCTATTCAGTCCTGGTCAATGATGTAATGTGGAGCCAGTGCCGTGGCTCTCTAGGCTAATCCTCCTCCTTGTGGTGCTGGCACACTGGGTTCTAGTCCCAATCAGGGCACCAGATCCTGTCCCTGTTGCCCCTCTTCCAGACCAGCTCTCTACTGTGGCCAGGGAGTGCAGTGGAGGATGGCCCAAGTGCTTGGGCCCTGCACCCACAAGGGAGACCAGGATAAGCACCTGGCTCCTGCAATCAATCAGCATGGTGTGCTGGCCTCAGCGCGCTGGCTGCACCGGCCGCGGCAGCCACTGGAGGGTGAACCAATGGCAAAAGGAAGACCTTTCTCTCTGTCTCTCTCTCTCACTGTCCACTCTGCCTGTAAGAAAAATGATGTAATGTAAATAATATTGATAATGGTTAAAGAAAGCTATTTATTAGAAGAAACAATGATTCCTTGGAAAACAAAAGGTTGAAGAGCTACCAAGGTATGGAATGGAGTCAACAAAGTCTGTGTCTCAAGTACACAGCACAGGCCACTCTCCACATGTATCCCCAGCATGGTCATATTGCCATGAGACAGTGCTGCTATCCTCCAGAATTCCTAAATTATTTTTAAAATGAAATTATAAAAAAGGAATGGCTGTCGTGATTATCCTCCTCCTTTTTAAATCATGTACACTGATTAAAAACGAAGCAGTCACTTGTCTGCTCATGACACACAGGTCTAACAATCAAGAGAAGCCACATCTGGACATGATACATTTCTGGTATCATTCACAGAACTTGGATTTGATTTCAAAGTTGAGAATAGATGATATTTTTTAAGTTTGTCTCTCTGGGTATGGAATGAAGTTAAGATACTTGTGAGATAAGATTAACTGATGTGTGGTGACCACTGCTCACTCAACTTCAGTATTGTTTCTTGTGAGAAAATCACATATCCACTCCCAGTCTAGAACTCACACAAATTCACATGATTCTCACTCAGCAAATATCAGTAGATATGAATTGTGTCACTTCTAGGAGAGCTTTACTTGGTCCAATGGCTTCTATATTCTCCAATCACAAAGATGAGCATTTCTAGTAAAGGTCACTATAGCAGGATGAAGAAAAATAGGAGATCTGAAACACACTTTAAATGTGGAAGCCCTGCAGTGTCTGGGAGTCACTTGTCACCTAATTATACCCTAACTTTTCAACCCAATTGTTGTGAGACACTAACAAATAGAGCATCTGTTACAGCAGTTCACTTTAATAGATGGATCTCTCTAAGTCCATGGAAGGGGGCAAGAAATGCACAGAGGCTGGGGGTTATAGACTTTTTAGCAAATTTTGTGGAAAACATACACAAAATAAAATTAAAAGTGAACCCACAGTTCACACTGAGTATTTAACAACTTTAGAATTACATGCAGTGTGTGATTAATAATCTTAGATTAGGAAAATCTATTCTAACTGAAACTCAATATCCAGAAACTATGCAAGCTCAAAATCAAGAATAGAAAACTCAGCAGAATTTTTAGAGGTAGAATGACAAAATTAGTAACTTAAACATCAGCAGATATGCCTTTTTTGTGTATTGTCAATTGCCAAATTCTGAAGATATGTAGCATGGGAGGTTAAATCCAATGCCAAAAATGACTACAGAGGAAAGAGATTTTTTCATTCTCATTTTGCTGAGGATACAAATATCTCCCATTGGAATGGGTCTCATTAATATGGGATCTCAGATGAAAGTACTGGAGACTCAGTGATGTGTTGGATGGTAGCAAGTGGTATGGGCAAGTGGTATGGCACATATGTAACTGCAGACCTCACTGGGAGTAGGATCAGAGAAATATATCCTAAGCTAGTGAAAATTGTAATCCTATTGATCAACAGATCAGGCTACAAATCACAAGCTATACAGAAAAATGTTAACATTTCCTGAAGAAACATTGTCCTTTACCAAAATTCTAGAGGTTTTTCTCTCCTTTTAAGTATTTATGTATTTGCATGACTGAATGACAGGGAGAGAAAGATAGGGAAAAAATCTTCCATTAGCTGTTTCACTTCCCAAGTCTCAGCAAATTCAAAAAAGTCAAAATCATACCATGCATCTTCTCAGAACACAAAGGAATGAATCTGGAAATCAGCAACTCAAGAATCTCTAGAGTATATGTAAACACATGGAAACTGAACAACATGCTCCTGAATGAACACTGGGTCACTGAAGAAATCAAAAGAGAAATCAAAAACTTTCTAGAAGCAAATGAAGATAACAACACAACATATCAAAACTTATGGGATACCACAAAAACATTGTTAAGAGGAAAGTTTATAGCAATAGGTGCCTACATCAATAAATTGGAAAGGCACCAAATAAATGAGCTACCAAACCATAACAGGGATCTAGAAACTCTACAGCAAACCAAACCCAAACCTAGTAGGAGAAAAGAAACAATTAAAATCAGAAAAGAAATCAACAAAATTTAATCCAAAAAATTACAAAGATCAGCAAAACAAAGAGCTGGGTTTTTGAAAAATAAACAAAATTGACACACCATTGGACCAACTAACCAAAAAAAAAAGAAGGAGAGGGAAGACCCAAACCATTAAAATCAGAGATGAGAAAGGGAATGTAACAACAGAAACAACAGACACCAAAGAAATAGTCATCAGAAATTACTACAAAGAGCTGTATGCCAACAAACTGGGAAGTCTAGCAGAAATAGAAAGATTCCTGGACACATACAACCTAACTAAATTGAACCATGAAGACATAGAAAACCTAAATAGATCCATATCTAAGACAGAAACTGAAACAGTAATAAAGGCCCTCCCAACAAAGAAAAGCCTAGGACTGGATGGATTCACTGCCGAATTCTACCAGGCATTTAAAGAATTAACTCCAAGTACTCTCAAGGTATTCAAAACAACTGAAAGAGAGGGAATCCTCCCAAATGATTTCTACAGAGCCAGAATCACCTTCATCCTTAAACCTAAAAAAGAGGCACCAGAGAAAGAGAATTACAAATCAATTTACCTGATGAACATAGATGAAAAAAATCATCAATAAAATTCTAGCCAGTAGAATGCAGCAACACATCAGAAAGATCATCTACCCAGACCAAGTGGGAGTTATCCCTGGTATGAAAGGATGGTTCAACATTTGCAAATCAATAAATCATTTACAAACTGCAGAAGAAAAAGCATGCAATTATCTCAAAAGATGCAGAGAAAGCATTCAATAAAATATAACACCCTTTCACAATGAAAACTCTGAGCAAATTAGGTATAGAAGGAACATCCTTCATTACAATCAAGATGATTCATGACAAACCCATGGCCAGCATCATACTGAATGGGGAAAAGTTGAAACCATTCCCACTGAGATCTGGTACTAGACAGGGATGTCCACTCTCACCACTGCTATTCAATATAATACTGGAAGTTTTAGCCAGAGCTATTAGGCAATAAAAAGAAATCAAAGGGATTTAAATTGGGAAGGAAGAGTCAAACTATCCCTCTTTGCAGATGATATGATCTGCAACTCTACCAAGAGACTATTGGAATCATAGAAGAGTTTGGTAAAGTAGCAGGTTACAAAACCAATACACAAAAATCAACCACCCTTATATATACAGACAATGCCATGGCTGAGAAAGGATTTCTAATATCAATCCCATTCATGATAACTACAAAAAACACATTGGAATAAACTTAACCAAGGGATTCAAAGATCTCTATGATGAGAATTACAAAATTTTAAGAAATTGAAGAAGATATCAAAAATGGAAAAATCATGTTCATGGATTGGAAGAATCAATATAATCAAAATTTCCATTCTCCCAAAAGCAATTTACAGATTCAATGTGATACCAATCAAAATACCAAAGATGTCCTTCTCACATCTTGAAAAAATGATGCTTAAATTCATATGGAGGCACAAGAGAACT